TTAAGTAACAATGCGCTAAAGAACTAGGGAACTCTCTATTGTTCTGCGGCATAGCAAGTTCCCCATGTACGAATGTCTTGGTTTTCACACTGATTATGTATTAACCTGTGGGTAACACATTTTTGAAATAAAATGTGGATAAACTCTATTTTGAAACAAAGTTTCTTTTGTATTAAAAGCTCTTATCCAATCATAAGCACTCAAAACAATAGCCAAAAGATGCTTCTAATTTGCAATGTTCCCCACATAGAATTGCCTTAATATTGAAGCTAAAGAATGCTTCCATGAAAGCGAAAACAGGCATTAAATAAAATATTAGAAAATTCCCTAACTTGTGAAATTATAGCAGATTTTCATGTTTTAACCAATGGGATGGATGGATTATACAATGCACAATTAGCACCTTCTTGCATTCCTATGCCGTTTGCTCCCCTAGTTCTTACTCGGGGCATTACTTAAAGATGAGCAGATTCTCCGCCTGGGCCGGTTGTTCTTATCCGGGGTTAGCTACATAGGTTTTTTAAACCCGCGATTAAAACTTTTCGAGCTTTGAATAACCCAGCCCTCGAGACAAACAATAACTACTCCCTTAAATCATGCGTTAATACAATAAACCAAAAGAAACGTAAAATCACAAACAAGATTATGAAGTACTTACAGAGCTCTGTGATGMCTTCCCTCTTCGCATTGACCTCAAGAGCTTCGATTCGGATCGTCTAGGAGGAATGGCTGGTCCTTGTCGTCTAGTATCGCCAAACGAGTCCAAACTAGACGTACTACTGACCATAGGGAATGCTCCTAGTGATTTTCTATTCATTCTTTGAACATTTCTTTCTTCTTGTATCGTTGTGACTTTACGTGGAGACGTTTCAACTTCAACGTGCTTCCAGCTTTCTGCTGGGATGTTTTTTCGCGCTTTGTCTCGTAGGAGGTCAGCGGAGTTGTATCTTGTTGTGGACGGCAAAGGAGCTTGGTAAGCGGTGATTTCTGAATGCTGGTCGTCTGATTTGACTGCTGTGGTGCCAAATACAACACCGTACGAAGGCCGTCCACTAAAACTTTTGCTTCGAGAGAAATTCGATCTGTTGGAAGTTCTGCATTTAAACCAGAGGCAATAATGTCAGGGATAAAAATATGGGCAATGACCGTATAAATTTGATATTTGAAAGACCAAATTTCAGTTTGAAAGGGCAATTTGACCCTTCACATTGCTTATAAGTAGGTGTAGCCCGAGTATCCGACTCTCTCAAAGGCGCGCGAAATGGGAGAGTGTTGCTTCTCTTTAGCCTTCCAAAACAGGTAATGACCGGCCAAAAACATTTGGAAGCCCATTGTAGCCTGCAATACCCTCCTGAGAACAGAGACTTTTTTCACCTCGCTGCAAACGTCAAATCTCACATGTACCGAGTTCAATGCAAATGAGATGATAACGAGAAATACCAAATGGACAGAAGTACATTATGTACTTCTGAAATGGAGCAATTTGCATTGAATTGAAGTACAAGTCAGATTYAGCGACTTTTTAGCTTACGGTGATTTAGGGACATCTTGCTTTCCTTCCTCTTCTTCAAACTTAGAACATGCATCTTTCACTGAAATGTCCTTGTCTGCCGTCGCACGGCTTTTGTCATCTCGAAGCCATCTCTCAAACCAGTTGTCGCGGTCAGCTGTAGCCTCTGTCTCGTTCGTATTAAATTGTCTCGCGATAGGGCTGTGTTTGACTGGAGAAATTCTTCTGTGTTGTCGAGAGCTAAAAAATATGCGGCAGCTTAATTAAAGAATTTATAAATTTAAGCCCAGAGAGATGTCAGGGCCGTGCTCAGAAAGTCCATTTAAGCGGTAACTGTTTTGTTGTTGTTGGGGTTTTTTTTCGACATACTTCAAGAAAATGCAAATGGATGAACAGCTCTTTGGCAATTGCATATACTACCTCTTTTAAACATTAAAACAGAGATTGAAAATAAAATTCTTGAAGGCTACAAATGAATTGACTTCCTCAGGCTCCCTGCCACTTCCCTCATAACCTTAATCATAATGATTACATAAGTTGCCTACCCTTCATCATCTGGACTGCTAAAGGTTGAGCTTGATGACGATATGTTAGTGCTTGTAATCTTTACTTTTTGAATCCGACCAGGTGAAGTGAAAGTTCGACCATGAAGCTGACTTTCTGGCACGCTGTGCCCACTAAAACAAGTTTAGAATTTAAGCGTTGCTTTTATTCATCAAATACAGTGTAAGAAGAAGGAAAAAAATAACTAGCAACGACAACAACAAGCTTGCAACTTAGCTGTTGCAACATTTTATCACCAAATGTTACAACTTGTAGTTTATTAGCCCATTTATGATGAAGTTTTGGTTGACTAATGAGCCACAAAATAACTGAACACAACGCTTAGTTGAAACATAGCTAGTAGAGGGAAACAGTCCCCGTCTCTACTAACTATGGATGAAACAAGAGAATAATATATTGTTTCCCCAGAGTCTTGTCTTCAATTCGTTGCGCCTGGTAAGCCAACCAAAATGTCAAAATTTTAAAATATTGCAAATCAATGATCTTCTCTGGAGCATTGCTCAAAAAGGTTTGTGCACACCTATAGTATAATCAACTCTCGCAATTACGGACACCCTGGGGACCATAATTTAGTGTCCGCAGTAGCGAGGGTAAGTCCGTAATGACGGGAGTCACCTTTAGTCATTTCTTTGTATTTTTCAGTCATTTCTTTGTAGATTTCCTGTCCGTAAAGTCGAGGTGTTCGTAACAGCGGGGATATTTTCAAATAATTATTAAATAAATTTAAAATTATCATGAAACAGAAATTCTCATAGAATCAGTTTGATGACTTTTAGAGTTAATAATTTATGAATAATTTGTTTAATAAAAAAGAGCGTATGCATTTTAAAAAAAATATTCATTTTTGTTAATTTTTAAAATCATTTATTAGTTTACCGATGTTCGCTCCATGACTTTGCTCTTGAATGCAAAGTGTTAATCAACTGTCGGTTTTGACTTGGCATTCTGAATAGTTTAAGACAGTAATATGTATCATATATACAAGGACTGACTCATTGCTTTAAGGTTGATTTTGCTGGTTTTCAATATTTAAAACACAAAATATTGACAGTGTCCTGCGAGCAGAGGGGGTGGAAAAATTGCTCTTCTCGCAGGGTAATTGGCAGCCATGTTAGTCTCTCTCACGGACACAACTTCCAGTTTTCATCAAATTTTGACAAAAAGAGAGGCTCAGGGGAGGAGACTACATCCATGTTGGTGAGATTAACAACAGATACTAATATTGTATCAGTACAAACAAGAATGTTACCTTGAAGACAACTGAAAACCAGCAATGATGCAAGAGGGTTTTTAGTACTATATTTTAGCCATGCATAGTATTAGTACCGTTATCGTTACCGGTATCGTTATTTATTATGTTATCCATTGCCTGTCATTGTTTTCCAGGCCAGCCACCGCTGGMTGCCCTATTGCCGGATTAGCTCGCTAGTGCCAATTAATTTATTTAAAGATTAAAAATAAAGTACCCATATTTATTCATTAATTATTGATTGCATCAATATAAGTTTATATGTATAAGTATTTTATGTACAATTATATTTATATGCATTTATATGTATAAGTTAGATGACAGTATGTCAGTTACATGACTGCTTTACTTAATTGTTTCAAAACAGATGACTGTTGGTATTACAGTATATCAATTTTATACTAGTAAATTCTGTATGACATTTTGCATATTATTACTGCAGGGTTGGAAGAAAATATAAAAATTATTTTATTATCTTGTGCATAAGCACGATCATATCCATGAAAGCCTMTCCCTTGCGAGCTTTGCAATAATCTGCATAATGCATGTAAGGCTAAAGAGTACAAATCACTTTGTTCTTATTAAGTGTTTTATGCTTAGCACATGCATAGTACATGCAAGTCTGCAGAGAGTGGACAATTTAATATATCCATTAAGTATCATTAGATTTCTTCATGCTTGTGTTTGTACTTATGAACTAAACCAAACATCAAATCAACCTTACCTTAMTTCTTTGTTTGGACTTATCCTTCCATTGGAAAAACTAGGTTTTTCAATATTATCCAGTTCTTCCTCACTTCCAGCTACACCTCTTTTCCTATAACTGTTTAGTAGGTCCTCATTGGATGCACTTAGTTCACTGTCATATGAATTGGCCATTTTATTATTTTTATCTTTTGTTTTCTCTACTATTTTAGCATAAACAACTGGGTCGACAGAGTAAGTAGAATAAAAGTCATTTTGTTTGACTTCATCCAAGCCTGATGGATGATATTTTGATGGAGAATCCATGGATTTGTCTTTAATGCCATTTTGTCTTGCGCTTGTTATATCACCACTTGAATCATTGCTTGTTCTAAAAAAGTATGATTTTTTAAAGCATTAATTACTATAAATATTACTACATGTAAACAAAACAAAACAAACAAACAAACAAACCAAAAAACATCCTAAAGCTAAATCAATATTACAATCATTGTAAAACATAAATGAAAATGATTGTTTAGTTAGTATTTATTTTGTTAAGAACAAAAGAAAACAATAGATTCAGATCGTGATACCATTAACATTTAGTCTCACAAATCTTTCAATGATTATCAATGAATTGTTGCAAATTGTATGGAATCCTTGTGGTTTTTATGGAAACAAAAAAGATGGCCTCTTGTTGAAAAATCTGCTATAACATCTAAATCATCCAAAGCAAGTCCACACAAACTTGTAATCCAAATAAGGTATGATTACACTATAATTATATATGGCTGCCAAATGATGTAGCAGATTTAAGGCAATTGATTGTTATGACTCTACCATATATACTTCAGTTGTAACTAACCTTTTGATAGTCAGCTGTAGAGTTTGTCCAGAATCTTTGACGTGTTCTATAGCTTTTGCTCTTGTAGAACATTCTATGTCATTGACGCATAACACTTCATCCCCTACTTGTAAAGCTCTGCTCTTGGACGCCTTCCCACCTGGTGTTATCTRTAATAACATGATAGATACATCTAATGTCTGCCTTGTGGAAAAACAGCTATTACACATAGCAAAGTTATATTGAATGTATAAACAGGAAGTAAAAGCCTGGTGGGTTAAAAATTCACAGGGGCGACCTTCTACATACAGCAAATTAGATATCTTTTTAATGAGGCATTGAATTTGACCCCAAGGGCAATAATATCTAAGAGAGGATGCATTAAATAAGTAAAACAAACATTACTAATAATTATTACATTAATTTAGTAGTAATTATTAGTAATTGTTCTCATATTTTATTTACAGTACAAAATTTCTCACTTCATATATCACAACTACTGTTTCACTATAAACACCAACATAGCTTACATTTTATAGTAAAAAGTAAGAGAATGCAGTTAACTATATATAATATATAATAAGTATTTCTAGGAATGAGGAACGAACAACAGAAGATTACGCCTGGGTTCCTGAGTGATTTCGCTTAAACTTTAGAAAGGCTAAAAAATGGTGAACATTTCATAATACATTCATATACTTTAAATTACGTACACCATCTTTCGCAGATGTACAATTACAGTATATGCACAGTTATGGTCAGGAGTAGTTTTAATACACACAGTAAAAATATTATCTTCAAATGATTGTCAACTTAAAAACACAGACTTTAGTCTGATTAAACAGGATCAAAATGGCTTCCTTTCATGTTGCCATGACAATCTATTGCCYAGCAACACATGACATTTTCAAAGCTTATTTATTCCCTATATCTATGGTACCTTTATTCAGCATTTTTCCAAAAAAATACAGCAGCCAATGTAYGCATTTGAATAAAACGGCATGTGCTTACATTTTGAATGTTGAATATTGGCTTGCATAAAATTAAATTAATCATAACACACTAGTTACCTTGTCAAAATATTGTTTAATAATGTTTTGAGGAATTAATTAAATAAAGCACTTAGAGTGTTACCATAAATTTCAATAATYATTTTAGAATTCAGAAGACTGCTTAAATTCCTTTGCAGGAGTGTCTGTACTTTCCTGGGACCAACTAATTTATATATAACAAACATTTCATTAAGAGTTTGAAGTTAATACTCAAGAGTTTGGTCTGTCAATATAGTAGAATACGCTATAATTGGATCATCCGTCTATTAGAAAATGTTATACTTGACTGCAAAGTCCCTTCTTTGATCTCGAACAAAGATGCGTGGTTTGAATGATTAGTGGCCTCTCTGATCTCATCTTGATGAGGAGAACCATATCACATATATCTCTTAGACTGCAACTACAATGTATCATACAAGTAAATATTGTAGTATTGATTAATGCTGATGGTAGCTCAGATAATGATATTAGAATTGCTTTTTTTTTACCATCTAATCTTATCAGAATTTGAGTGCTTCTGTGGCATACGATATCTATCTAAGGAACTATATTGAATGTGCTTAACCTTTAGCCATAGGAGCTGTCATGGCTGTGCATCATTCAATCTAGAGCATTCAGTTATCAGCGAATCTCTGCAATTTAGCTAAGGGCTTTGTCACAAGTCAGTTATAATTGAGCATAGTTTTAAGTGTTTCTCTCCCAATATTATATACAAACAATTTCWTAAAACAAGTATATTTTTCTTAGTGTCGCAAAACGAWTATTAAGTGAACTTGCATTTTCAGACGGCAAAACAACAATTATTCAACGCTTCACTAAAGCTTTTTAGTATGCATTGAATTTTGCAATGTAACATAGCCTAGATTTCTCCGCTTCTGAAAGTTACATTTTGTTATTATTATGGAATGATCGAACGTTCGAAAACCGTCAAGTGCTGAAATGGAAGACATTCCAAACATTCCTCTTAGATAACCGCTTTATACGTCTAAAAATATAGTGAGCTCGCAAAGAAGATTTCAAAACCCACGTTTAAACAGTTAAGTGAAGCAGTCATGCGAAGAGAATGCTCCCATAACAATCCGAAAATACAGAGCCAAACAKATTCCAGATAACCTAAATATATACAAAAGTCACCTCAGAATAATGTGAAGAATCTCGGTATAGTTGTTTGGTCCCCTTGAGGTTGTAAATATACGATGTAAATAAAATAGACTGATGTTGTGTTATCTGCAACGATAATCCCTTCATTGCTTCACGATATGTGTTATAGGCAGGAGACGAGACTGTGTCCATGATGACCGGTCCATAAATTTGCCCTTTTCACGGCGTTCAAGTCAAAATGAATTCTTAACAACCGCCGAATAAAGCATTAGGATCGAGGTTTGTTTTGCTAGGCCTCAAGAAATTACTACTTCAAAACCCGACCACTAGCAGTGCCCAGACAAAACTTTGGAAATTCCATATATTTCCGATTCTTGCCAATCATAAAAATAGAATATCCAGATATTTTCTCTGTTTCTTACATCGAAAATTTTATTCAAAAATTATAAAAGTATGGGATGTTTAACATTCACGGAAAAAAAAAATATTGACAAGAATTTTGTATTGTATAAACATAAGGTGGTAGAAAGTTCATCTGTGTTTCCTCGACAGTTTACATTCACCGTCGAAGTATCTAGAATAGCCGAGAGTGTTATATAAGACATTGTGCTTAAAAGACTATTCTTTACATGTAAATCATGATTCGGCAAGTAAGAAAATATGCGGTCATTCGGAATGACCGTGAACATTTGTTGTGTATACAAATTCTACAAAGCTTCGACCGACTTGGTCAAACGCCGAGGCTAAAATGGAAGCGATCGATTCAGAAATTTGAAGGATTATAACGGTGCTGGAACCACAACAAAGAGCTGAAACAATCGAAGATGCCAGACTTACCCTTTTAATATACAGCTTTGAGTTGAACTCGCTTCCTCCATGGAGAGTAAAGCCCCAAGGCGAACCACCGCTCAAATGAACGTTGAAGGTCCCCTTTCCATTAGATAACAAATCGTCCATCATATTAAAAAGGCTTCAGGAACTTTTCTTGAAGTAAAATAGCCCATGTCCAATGATACTGGCCAGACAACTTGGCGTTTGGCCGCAGATCGCTTGAAAACAAAGTTCCCAAACTGGTAAAATTTATGTACATGCTATTACAGCCTTGGTTGCTGGCCTCGATTCCTCACACCCTTACGTCACAACGAGGCCAAGTAAAAYWTTTYRTACAACATATTATAGAACACAAGTTTTGATTGGCTGCTATAAAAGTTATTAAAAAGTTCACCAATCAWRTCTAACCTTTTAACTACTAATTGWGTCAAAGTTATAATTTGAATTTCCGTATAATTTTTGCTTTTGGAATGACATTCATCAATGTAACTTTTAGACTATAACGAATAATGTATACAATCCTTAAATATAGAACAATTTGAAATCTTTAAGTTAAATCTAGCACGAGACGCATGAATTATCGTCAAATTATTATGATTCATTATTCTGACGTCACCGGAATCGAATTATTTTTTCGCGGGAAACTTGAGAGCGGCCATGACAACACCACCACCGAATTTGAAGAAGAGTTTCTATCAAAATATTCTCAAAAATGGCAGCTTATCGGAGCAAAATGATTCTATAAAACGAAAATCAGACACTGAAGATGGAATCACAAAGAAGCAAAAGGTTTCCAAGCGAACGGACTACCTTTCTTGGGATGAATATTTTATGGCTGTAGCGTTCCTGTCAGCTCAAAGAAGCAAAGACCCTTCCTCGCAAGTTGGTGCTTGCATTGTCAACGCTGACAAGAAGATTGTTGGTATTGGATATAATGGGATGCCAAATGGTTGTAGTGATGACCTGTTGCCTTGGAATAGAGAAGCTAATGACGAGTTGGACACAAAATATCCATACGGTGAGCTGGCAAAGATTAACTAGGGGGAGAGGGGTTAGGATGTGATGGGGCTGTGMTTGAGGGAATGTGCTTTGCATTTGGTMTTGTTTTCCTAGGGGGATGTGATATTACATGTTGGTACTGCACTTATCATCAGATTGCATATACGTCAACCCCACTGAGCATTGACTAATGGGACAAAATCCCCACCGCTAGCATTCTCAGCAACCCAGGGGGTCACTCAATTGTTGCTCACAAAAACGTTRCTTCTGGGAATAAAGGAACTTATTCCTCTTTTCTGATTGGTTGACCTGCATAAGGGGTGTCTTTTCACGGCATTTCACTCTTCATATTTTTTTTTTGTGTGTAAAATAATGATGAACTGACAAAATTGAAACTTTCACATCAAAAATTTGTTTAAGTGATAATAAACAATATTGTTGGATACAGCAAMAACAGAAACAACAAAATAACAACTTATCATCTACTTTGCATATTTTCAGTGTGTCATGCCGAAATGAATGCTATTCTAAACAAAAATTCCGCTGAAGTTAAGGGAGCAAGTATTTATGTTGCATTATTCCCATGTAATGAATGCTCCAAGATTATCATTCAATCAGGAGTAAAAGAGGTTGTGTACGCCTCCGATAAATACCATACTAAACCATCCATGATAGCATCAAGGAGATTGTTGGACATGGCTGGAGTTAAACACAGGTAAATATATTCAAACTGGCATTGTTCTCTGATATTGTGATTGTTTTTCATTTCTCTTGATTGTGCTGCAGGCATTTATTCTTATTCTGGGTGGTGTAAATCCCTTTGTTTTTAAATCCGCTACATACAGAGTTCTCAAGTGATGACGTCACAAAATGAAAATGTTTCTGAAAGTGCCTCATTTTAAAATATGAGTGTCCTAGTGCCATTTATGGCAGAGATACAAGCAATGTTATGGTCTGGTGACCACATACAAACACTTGTAAATTTAGTCTTGTTCACAATGAGAGGAACAAGGCCAAATTTACAAATGTTTGTATGTGGTCACCCGACCATAACATTGCTTGTATCTCTGCTATAAATGGCACTAGGACACTAAAATTTGGTAGATAGCTACAGGCTCGAAATGGTTATCAGAAAATGCATATATGCCTTCTTTGAATTGAGTTTATATAATATTGTATTACAACTATATATTCAATCCATATATTATTTTAAAGTTTTAGAGTTCGTGATACATATTTTTTAAAATCACCACTCGAGGTCTGCCATTTTGTTTTGACAATCGTCAAGCATTTTCGTCATCAGTCCGCGCACGGTCAAAAAACCATTCCGAGCCTCCTTAAAGTGTACCTAACCCCTGCAAAATGACATTTTTTTCTAAAATTAGGGAAGTTTCTAAGACCTTTGGTAAAAAAAAAAATGACTCGATTTCATTCAATTCCTGATTTTTGGCAAATGTTTTTTTAAAAGTTGGATTTCGGATGGAGAGCCTCGAAAGAAGTAAGGAAATAAAAAGTGTGACGTCAACCCAGACAAGACAATACCTTCTTTGATATTTGGTGTGTTGTTACAACTGTCAACAACATAATGATTCAGCATTTTTAACTCAAAAATCAATAAAAAATCTACCACCGGCAGTGTTTGCATGAGTTCACAGTATCTGATACTGGGTTGACGTCACAAGTCACGTGATACTGTAGAATTGCTTGTCCACCACAGGGAGCTSGAAGAACCTTTTCTTGCATGTTTAAAAATTTGTACAAAATTGAAATTTCAATAAAATCWTGTCATTTTTTTGCCAAAGTTCTAAGAAATCTCACTAATTTTAGAAAAAATTGTCATTTCTCAGGGGTTTGGTGAACAATTCTGGGGTTATACCTTTTGAACTTTTAGYATTAGTGTATGTTTGAAGCCAAATGTTACACAAAGAACTAAGAATAYGATTGCTGTTTGTTTCCTTGTTTTTCAGGCAGTACACTCCACCAAAATCACAAATAGTTGTTGACTTTACAGCAATTGATGGGAAAAAAAAGTAACACAAATTATGCACACAAAAAGCAAATAACAATGTACTAAATAGAGGCTCTTTTAGTTGCAAAGGTCCATGATTGTCTGCATAATTAACAGGCTGGATCATGTTTAAGGATACTCRTCACTGGCACAGTCTCTAGAAAACAGAAGACTGGCAGCCAAGTTGGTGGTAAAAACAATATATATGATATATACTAATGAGAAATCCTCTTAAAATACTGTATTAACATTGGCATCCATCTTTATTGTTATTTTTATGTTAGTTTTTAAGTTCCTTATTCAAATGGATTGCCAATGTTATTGTTTAAACAAAGTCTATACATTTTTGTCTTCTATGATTTTATCAACAAGAAAGAGCTAAAAATTGTATTTTTTCGGTTAAATGAAAAACTTTCTAACATTACTAACTTGTTTTTAATTGAATTGATATTTTATTATTTTCATTTTGTCTGAAAAGGTTACAATGTTAAGATTGAAATAAGATTTTTTTTTAAAAGATCTATTCTTGATGTTGAATCAGACATTGACTATTTATGGCCGCCAGCTTAATCACGCTTTGACCTTCTCTCCCTCCTGTCATAGTCATCGCTAAGAATAAAATACAACAACATTGATTAGTCACAGATAATWTTGGACTTTCACAGCTGTTTGAAGAATAACATTTTGTACTAAGCAGTATGAAAAGTTAACAAAGTTCAATTTCGAACAGAAACTTCACACTTTTTTCACCTGAATGAAGATATGACAATTATAACCTAATTATCAGATTTGGGTATCACATGATTTTAAGAATAATATTATACACGTCAAGGTGGCAGATTAGATAACAGGCACCTTGACATGATTAATAAAAAAATATTATTTGTTTATTTTAATATATAATATACTTTAGCCATAAGGCTAAACTTTTTTTGTAATAGRTATAAACATTATGTTACATACTCGTCTCTCTTCTTGGAGGTATGAATCATCTGTGGAAGAAACAAAACCATCATTTTCTAAGTAAACATAAATACTATTTGATGACCTGTTTAGTAATTTGTAATAATTAGTTTGAAACTAGGAAACTATTTTGTAATAAATTTGTTTTTTTTTTTTTGGTCACAAATTGTTGGTTGTATAGTTTATAACGATTCTCATTGATTTATTTACAATACAAATAACAAAGCTGTGACCACCTGATTTATATTTTAGGAACAATGTTTATTGTTTATTGACCAATCAGAAGTGAGGTTGACTGTCAGCTGAGTGTATTGTCACAAACTTGACCAAATCCTCAGTTAGTGATAAATAAAACCATTTTTTTGTCAAAAATGCTGATAATAATCAACAATTTCATTGTTCAGCTAAAATAATATCAAATTCATTTATTTGTTTAGTTTCATTTTTCATCCTGCTTTCTTGTATGCTATCCATTTCTTGAATGCACATTTCTTAACAAATTCTGATCAATCACAGCTTTGTGTTTTCCATTGTATTACTCTTTATGCAAAACATTTATCAAACTTCTTTGATGATCAGCAAGAACACCATACCTTACTAATACGCTGCCAGTCTCTATCAAGTTTTGCTTTCTCATCTTTAGGACCGGTACGTCTAGTTTTGCGCCCTTCAGACATCTTGATTCCAAACTGGAAAGCAGCTCTGTAAACAGAAATGACTGTCATATTAGCCTTGTGGGTGGACACCCACATGTAACCCCACCCAACCCTTCCTCAATCATTTTCACAGCTATTTGCGCATGACACCCATCAATTCTGTTATCAGACTGTTTGTTGTTCTTCCAGTAAGAATACATTTGTGGCCTTCCTGAATTATTTTGGCAAACTGCACAACTCATCAAGGTTTGACTATAAAAGTTCCTTTATGCCATTCACCCAACCTTTTTATACGTCATGTAAGATTCCTTGTTAATGTTTACTTCGAGTGCTTCAATTAGTAAAAAATTTGATTTGACATGGGCAGGTGCAAACTAGTATGAAATTAAGCTTGACAATTCAACTGCTGGATTTCCCTATATCAAAACCTTAAAGCTAAAGCATTGCTTTTGAAAAAAAGCAATGCATTCTTGTGAGATATGTGACCATTTGGTTTAAGTCTTCGTTAAACTGATCCCTCTGATTCCTCCAGAAAAAGGCTGTGCATACAACTCCCCTACATCATAATATATATTTTGAAAACCTGCAGCCTAGCAGCATTCAATGCATTTGCTCACAGCCCATCAATGTTGCTCTGGGAAAAACTCTGACAGCAAGAGCAAGAACAAGCTTGCAGGCTCAGATTGAGTTATTAATGTAGTCTGGATTATGACAAAGCTTACTTGGGAAGGGCTTCTCTTGTTTCCATGTACTTGTTGTATTGTTCATCACTTTCAAAGTCCCATCTTTTTATTGGTCCCTTCTTATTYCCCTGCAATTGAAACAATAATGTTATTTATCAAGAATGTGASTTTCCTTAGTTCTTCCTTTGATGTCCATATTGTAGAGATGTCAGTAATAAAGAACATATATTTTGTAACATATATAGGAGGAAACTGGGGAGTTTCGGGAGTCCTTTCTTTGGAATTAAGCTTTTTTATACTATGATGTATTTAAATGTCAGCCCAGTCAAGAAATTCAATAGATTGTTATTATAACGATAGTGCATTCCAAAAKTGCCAAAGAAACTTTGGCACTTTTGGAATGCACTATCGTTATAGAGTGTTCAGAATTTAACATGTTTTCTAAAATACATGTAGCTGCATAAAAACAGCTAAAAACTAAAGTAATACCAAGTCCATTTTGGTGTAATCAGCTTCTTCATCGTCACTTTCATATGCCACTTCAGCAGCACTAAGAGGAAGAGAGAAAATATATCACTAAACAAGTTATTTATAAAAGCTTTCCCATGAGTGGTTGCAACATGAAATGTAGCACCTGCACACAACATTACCACTGCACACAAAAATATGCAAAAAGTACATGCGCATAATATTGCCTCTGCACACAATACATGCAAATAGCTCCTGCGACCAATATTGCCTCTGCACACAATACATGCAAATAGCACCTGCGACCAATATTGTCTCTGCACACAAATACCAATGCATGCAATATTGCCACTGTAAGAAAGTAATAATGGCAAGCACAAACGTTTGAGAATGGTTGATAGAAATAGTAGATTCACACAATATTGCCACTGCATACACACACAAAATACAGTACTTTCCACTTCTCACAAAATAATAGTAAGAGCAAAATGTTGTGGATGGACAATATCAATTATTAGTTAATTATGTATAGTATAGGCAATCATACAAATCAATTTAGTTTTCTAGTTCAAACTTACCCAGGATAACACTCCATGTAACTATCCGGTTCTCTACTACTCTTAGACTTTTTAGATTTAGATCTAAACAAGCTGTTAAGGCA